CAGTGGTGTGCAGACTGCCGTTTAGATGTCTTTTTTTGCCTTTTTGTAGTTGGGCCGTGCTTGAGTTGCCATTTGATGTTCTCTTTTTGCCTTTTGACCCTTGTTTCTTTTTTCATGTACCACAAGGGAGTTGCTCAGCCTGAGGGTTAGGGTTGGCAAACTCGAAACACAGATATAGGGGCTAGCTTGTTAAATTTTTTGCAATCAGACTCGCATACTTCGTCACTTTACATGCATACAAACAGATGGTGAATCACACTGGCGCATAGCGCCCAACTCAAAGCTCGAAGATATGGAAACCAAGACACAGTTCAGATGCAAGCTCGCTTCAAACAGGCTATGGTGCATCAGCACCCACACATCGCAACTCTTGTCTCTGTGTCCAACACCACTGTTCGCTTCACTCTTCAACTCCGGATCACCCTGGATACCCCACGCACACACTCTGTACACACATGAATGCACACCTACTACTAACTATGGCAGCTATGGCCGCCAGCTAACTCGACTCTACAAGCAGCTATGGCGGCGCTAACCCTTCAGCCCACTTCGACTTCAGGCTCCTCTGCAGACCACCTCGCACAAGTCACCGTGGCAGCGCTTCCGCATGGCTTCCGCAGGAATGAATGAATAGCTGTGCGCTGCCTCTTGATTTATACTCCTGTAACTCGTTGGTCTTCCCCCTTTCCATCGGCCCATGGTACACACAGTCCCCCATGGTACTTGCTGGACTGGACTGGGACTGACTGGACTGCACTGTGGACTGCCTGGGGACCTACTGCTAACCTACTGCCATCGTACTGCGAATGTACTGCAGTTGGTCCACCACTTGCCCAATTGCCCACGTGCCCACTTGCCCACTTAGTCTAAAACGTGAGCAAGCTGCGAAAGGCCACTTCCGGACCTTCCGGAAGTCTGTGGACTTGGCCTTTCGGGACTGTAGCAGCTACGACCTTGACCTTTCAGGACTGTTGCAGCTACGACCTTGACCCTTCAGGACATCTACAGCTACGACTTCTGGAACTCTCTAAGACCTCGACTCAACAGGTCTACAGATCGAATCCCTACATACACACAGTCCTACGACAGACAAACAACAACTCACGAAACACAGGTCACGGTTTCAAGCACTCTGAGGGCAAGTCGATACTGTACATGGGTGAGGTAAGGTCTGGGGATCAAACCCCGGGACCTGCATCTGCCTCTGCATAGGTGAAAACCGTTTCATTTTAATTATTATTAATAAATATTTAATTTTTAACAACCCCAAGGCCTGGTAGCGGCGCAGATAAAAGCAGTCGCCTCTACCAGCCCTGTGGCTGGCTCCAGTCGATTGGTGGGGAGCGTCACCTGCTGGAAAGCGGGTCCAGGGTCCCTTACAAGAAACATTGAACATATTGAATATAAATGCATGAGAGTATGGAGCGGAGTCTGCTTCTTCAGCCTGGGCCCAGGCCGCCTGCTCTGACATAAAACTACTAGCAGATCCCTTCCTCTCCTTCATGAGCAAACCATTTCAGCTCCACCAGAGCATTCTCTGGGGGTGAAAACATATCATGAAAGTCCTCCGGGGCCCTAAGAGGGATTCAAGGGTCTATTTGGAGCCACTCATGGAAGCTGAGTTTGTAGTCCTTTCGAAGGCAAGCATCCCCTGCTCCCTCCCCCGGCCGATCCACCTGTGCCATCCAACCCACCCTTTCCCTGCCCAGCTAGTCATTGCCGAAATTGTGAATTTCCTTCAGAACTACCTTACCGGGGCCAATGTCCGGGAACCCCCGGTTGTCTCCCGGTTGTCTGAGTTTTCTGGTTAGAAAACTTCGGAGACGTCCTCCCAGGACAACTTGTCCGCCCCCTGTGAAAAATAGGCGGGGGGTGGTCTTGGGCAGTTTCAGGGCCTGGACGTGTTCCGAGGTCACGGGGTGGCGGACCAGGCCCGAGACAGTTCTTTTCATGCTGGCAGGGCCTCGAAACTTCATTAAGAAAAATACCAATCTGGGCCATCAGATCTTGAAGATCGATGGCCCAGATTGGGCCTTTTCGAATTTCAAATTTTGCCTCCGGAGGGCCGCCTTACTGTGGGCGATTCAGGCGGGGATGTTCGGTTGTTGGGCTTTGTCAACCGTTCATGCCAGCACCAGTGACCGCAACCCCATGGCATTGCCGATATCCCAACCACCGCCAGGTAGTTGACTCCCGTCCTCCTCCTTCCCCCATCACCTTCCCCTTCCTCCTCCTTCCCCTCTCCTCCTTCCCCTCTCCTCCTCCTCGTCTTCCTCCTCCGTTCTTCTACCTGCTCCTTCTCCTCCATCTCTTCTTCCTCCTCGTCCTCCTCGTCCTCTTCTTTTTCCTTCTCCTCATCGTCCTCCTCCTCCTCCCCCTCCTCCTCCCCCTCCCTTCTCCTTCTCATCTGCTGCAGAAGCTGCTACTGCACCTGCTGCATGTGCAGCATCTGCTGCAGATGGTGCACATGACCCAACTGCTGCGGATGCAGCTGCTATTGCACCTGCTGCATCTGCTGCAGCAGATTGTGCAAATGGTGCAGATGCTGTACATGCAGCAGGTACTGCACCTGCTGCACCCCCTGCAGCAGTGGACCCTCCACCCCTGCCCGTTTCCCCTTCTATATATATATTTTCGTCCAAATGAGCTCAAATTTTCTAACCGGGTCTCCACGTAGTGCGCGGACCGCCCCCCTCTTTTCACTTTTAAATTCGCAAAAATATGACTTGTGTGTCAAGTAGGGGCCTTGCCATGATGTACATGTTCTGGGCTAAGGCCCCAGCAAGCCTCGTGCCCGCCCTAAGTGAAGGCGGGCCAGCAAATCAACAAGAACCCTCTGTGCCAACATTTCACGAAGTGGGGTCGATACAGTTGCAGCACGCCAGTTGGTTGGAGTGCACCGAGTCTCGGATTTCAGCAAATGCTGAAAGCCCAGGGCCTCTGAGTTAGTTAGGCCCTGGGCACTCGAACGTGAGGCCGACAATGCATGCTGGGTATAGAGGCCGAAAATGCTAAAGGGAAATCGGCCCACTATCTGAATCTGGCCGCGGGCCTTGATGAAAGAGGCGCAACTGCATTGCCCCGGGGCCCAACTGTATCGCATTGGCTTCAGCCTCTGGGTCCCGGTCACAGGCTGAAGGGAGGCCGCCCACACACTGCACTGGCATATAGGCAAGCAGGGCGAGTGGGCAGGGATCTTGGCCATTGCGGGCAATGTCGGCACGCTGCGCGAATGCGAGCTGCTGCTGCTGCTGCGCTGCGCTAAGAGAGGTGCGAGGCAGGCCAGCGCTAGGCGGTAGGGCGCTGCCTGCGCACCAGGGCACTGGCGGCCATAGCCGGGCCGCATGAGGGTGCAGTGGAGGTGAAGGGCGAAGGTGGTCTTCGGAGGTGAAGGGCGCTGTGTGTGTACAAGGGAGAGTGTGCGTGAAGAGGACACGTACCTGCTGGAGGTGGAGGTCGGTATTGGTGTTGACATCATCACTCGCTGGTAGTCAAGTTGTCTGGTTGCTTTCATTGCTGTAGTTGTAGGCTAGGCTGTAGAGTAGATAGGGCGCCTGGCGCCACTCACAAGAGAGAGCTACATTTGGGTTATGCTGTTGGTGTTGCCCTGTTGGGCATGGACATTGACTCACGATTCTTTTGTATCATTCTCAATGGGATGGCTACTCGGTTCCATGTGCTATCTGCTTTGGCTTTGACTACTTGGACTTCAGTGTGATTTTGCATACTGGATTTCTGTGCTTCGTCCATATTCATGTTCCTTGCAATTTGGTATCAGAGCTGGTTTGATCGCCACTTACCTTCGGCATGCTGGCGTTATACAGACTTGGTGCGTTGATGATGCTTCTTCGCAGCTGGTACTTGTGACGTCAGGCCATTGATAGGCGCACGCCCTGGGTAGAGAGGGGTGCGCCGGAAGGCTACAGACGGCATTAATAGCCGTGGTGACAGGCGGAATGTTTGATTGATGATGAGAGCATGCTGATGTGGCATTGGACTAAGGTGGCACTGCATTGCGTTGTGGGTGGTACCGAGGTCATGACCGGTCATCAAATGCAACATCAGCTCAATTGGTGAGAAAATCTGTAATTGGGGGCAGCTATCTCCAAGTATGTTGATCCCTTACCTTATCTACCGTCTCAATCTCTTCTTACCGTGAGGAAGTGAGTCCAACTTGAGAGTCCTCTCCTTGGTGAGGTGTCGTGAGCGCGCTACCTTGAGAGACGACAATCTTCCCGGAAGCATCTGGAAGGAGAAAGGGTGGTGCCTCTGAAGGGCCCTGGTCGAAGCACTGGGTCACGGTCACCATGCCAACCCACAGGGAGTAGTGCACGCATGCGATGGCTGCTGTCCTGTTTGGCACTTGCTGCGCTCAGATAGAAGTCTTGCCAAGTGTGCCAGCCTTGTATGAGACGCTTACCAGACCGTCTATAAACATTTCTGGTTGGGTATTCGGAATGATTCTGGCTGTGATCGTCGTCCTGACTGCGACGTTAAATAATTCCTGAAGAGGTGGGGAACTCTTAATAATCCTCCTGATCAGCCAGATCATCCGGGTGTAGGGCTCGTTTCCGTACGAGGGTAAATAAGAGTGGGCTGGCTGGCTTACTTGGCTCTGACTTGGGCATAGGGGTGGGCCGATACACACACGAAAACACTGCTTTGCTCAAGATGTTGTTCGGTATGTTGGATTGAGGGGAGGGTAGGTTCCAATTGGAGATCAACTGTCTACACAACTATACCCATCAATCATACATCTGCTACACGGTCTTTTTGTAATTTTGATTAGTTGGTGGACAGACTGCTAACACCTCACAGACAGACTAGAGTAGGACTGAAGTATACTACCATAGCCAGTTCTATCTTGTGCTGTTGTAAGTGAACAAGTCAAAGTGCATTTAGACTATGTAGACAATCTGTGTGAATGTTGTAGACATGCCACTTGATCGGTACAGTAGGGGACTTGCCGGACATAACTATTTCTAGAAAAATAGGTGCCGGTCAGACACATGTTGCGGTAGGATTCCACTAGGGGATTCTACTGCAGACAATGTTTGCCTAATTCATGAACGGATCAGACGTCGACGAGGAGGGAGTTGACGATGCTAGACTAACACGTGCAAGATCAAGTAGGATCCCGTATGTGTTCAGGACCCTAGACGATGGAGAAGAAAGACGGCTTCATGCCGAACGCAGAGCCCGTGCTCTCGCAGCATCGAGAGAGGCAGCAAACGTTGAAGCTCGGGAACAGGCCGCAGCAGCAGCCAGGGCAGCAGCCAGGGCAGCAGCCATGTCTTCTGCAGCAACATCCTCCGCTGCAACTTCTGTTGCGTTCTCGTTTGGACCTCAGTTGGGAATGCCAACAGGGTCCACGGGCACTTCCAGTTCAACAAGTTCTAGACAGTCTACAAGTCAAATGGCGCGCTCGCAGTTCAGCCCGTTGACTCCTCGCGAAAGGGAGATGAGGGAGCTCCAGCAGGTCGAAAGGATCCGTGCACAATTAGAGAAGGAACTGAAAGAGGCTACCGATGGAGAAAGAGAGATAAAGAATAGAACAACCAGGCTTGAAACATTAGAGTCTGACAAGGCTGACTTGGAGGGCTTAGATGACTCAGGAATGAATGAGCCCATGAGAGTGTTGAGGAACAACATGCTGTCGCTGCATGCGCATGTGGACAGCCGGTTGGACTTCATGCAGAGCACTTTGGACCAGATCCTGGACATCCTAACAAGGCCAGGATTTAGGCCACCAGCCCAATCGCCGCTGCCGTTAACGGCGATGTCAGGCCCTTTTCCAGTTCAAGCTGGTTCACAACCAAGTGGTACGTCTTCAGCAGTCTCCCAGACTGTTGCGTCTTCTTCTTCGGGTCCAGCGGTGATTGCTACATCACCACAACAATCTGTTCAACAATCTGGACAGCTGCAAGGTCAATGGTATCCCAAGACCCCAATGAAACCGCCTCTTGCCTTCTCAGGTGAGAGAAAGGACGAGGAACTCAACACATGGTTGAGGACGGTCCCGGTTTGGGTGAAGGCCAAGAGGACCTTGCCAGAGGATGAAGTGGTAACTGCGGCATCTTACCTAGAGGGTAAGGCAGCCAAATGGCTAGATGAGGTAGTTGTGAAAGCCGGGTATGGGCGACGCATGGCGGACTGGGCCAAGTCTTTGACTCTAGACCACTTCATGGAAATGGTAGAAGCTCGATGGCATGATAACCCACAGGAGGCGCAAAGGGTCACTGATGCCGTTTTTTTTTTTTTTTTTTTGCAGYTTTGGGGTTCGTAGATCAAGACCCACCACCCCGTAGTCCGCAACGTGCGCGTGCCCCCCCCGGGGATGCGTTCAGTTTTTTCGCGCCACGTGGTGCGCAGCGCGTTTGAATGCGAATGAACGCAGCCTCGGGGGGTGTGAATGCGAACGTGAACGCGCGTTCAGCGCGTTCACTTGGTTACACAGACTTCACGAACGATGGTACCGCAGGGAGGAACCCAGGAAAAGGGTCCAAGCATTGGATTTGCAAGTACTGCGAGACCCGATTCGACGGGACGGCTTCGAATCTGAGAACCCACTTCCTAAAGAAGTGCAGCCTGGACCTCGTGACTAGACCAATGTCCGTGGAGGAGAGGGTGAGAAGGGCGGAGGGGATTCGCATCGGGAAGAACCTCGCAGAGCTCATTGAAAGGAGGGGGAAGAGTTCTACACCGACGAGCAACCTGCCATCTGCCAGCAGTCTGGTCATTGGAGCGATGGGTGCTGGTAGTGGGGCGGCTGATGCTGGCGGTGTACCATTGCGGGTGGCGACTTCTGGGGAGTCCGGCCGTGCAGCGCCCCAAACAGGTCGACCAATGAGGCAGACACTTATCGAGGATGTGGACAGCATCATTACTCGTAATGAACACACAAACCGCTTCCTCGATAACTTCCTGTTCTGCACGAACCAACCCTTCAGTCTCGTTGACAACGAGTACTTCCTCGAGTTAATCGACGCGGTGAAAAAGGCACATCCATCATGGTTGCCATACCACAGGGACAACGCACGGACAAGGAGGTTGGACGCCACGTTTGGAAGGACGAGAGCAGACGTGACCGCCATGACCACGAAGTGGCAGGTCACAGGCTGCATGCTTCAGATGGACGGTTGGTCTGATAGGCGCAACCGCCCCCATCTGAATGTGATGGTGTCGTCCCCGATAGGGACTGTCTTTTGGAAATCAGTGTGCATGGAGGGGAAAGACAAAGACTCAGCGGCGTATTTCAAGATCCTTCATGGATTGATCAAGGAGATCGGGTCAAACGCAGTGGTTGGCGTTGTCATGGACAACGCAAGAGTGTGTGTGAAGGCGGGTAAGATGGTGGAGGCCGCTTACCCTCAGATTTTTTGTGTCGGCTGCACAGCGCATGCCCTTGATTTAGCACTTGAGGACATGTACAAGCAGCTCGGTTGGCTGGCGGTGGTCGTCGACGCCGGCAATGTAGTCGGTGAATTCTTCACGAATGTGGACAAGGCGAGGGCTTTGTTCGACAAATTCTCGTCGAATTTGAAGTTGAAGCGTCCGGCGGTCACGCGATTTGCCACGAGTCACGACATGCTGGCTTCGTTGAAGAGAGGGAGGAATGCACTCGAGAAGTGCGTCTGCGACACGGCATGGGTGGACAAGATGGTGAGGGCGGATCAGCTCGCCGCTTTCCGTGAGGTCACCTCCATCGTGCTGGGAAGGGACGGGTTTTGGGACAAGGTGGAGAAGGCCCTTGCAGTGATGTCTCCTGTTGTGGAGCTGTTGCGCCTGGTCGACGGGCCAGGCGCAACAATGTCGAAGGTCTACTTCAAGATGGATGCGCTCGTCGAGAGAATGCGCGGCCTCGAGTGTCTCACCCCGGGTGAGAAGGCCGAGATCGAGGACATTCTAATGCATCCGTGGTCGTTCATGACGAGTGAGCTGCACTGCGCGGCTGCCTTCCTTGACCCGGTGTTCCGACACAGTGCATTGGCAGAGCGGGATCGGGAGGTTCGCGCGGGGTTCAACATTTGGCTGTACTTGTGGGCGCCGAAAGATAAACCCACCCTCGACGAAATGAGCCGGCAAGTTGATGACTGGACCAAACTGCGTGGGGCATTCAACACACGAGAGGCAGCGGAGTCGGCGCGTGTCAAACCAGCGGCCTTATGGTGGGAAGCATTTGGGGGAAAGTTGGACCTTCGGCAGCCGCAAGCCGTCAAATTGCTTGGCCAAGCAAGCTCGTCCGCTGCATGCGAGCGGAATTGGAGCTTGCATGAGCTCATTTTTGGAAGACGGCGCACGAAGCTCATGCCAGAGAGACTGTCAAAGCTGGTGTTCAACAACTAGAACACCCAATTGATCCGGAGTTACATCCGCGGCGGTAAGGAGGAGGTCCACATCCCTTGGGAGGATGACCGACCGGTGGAGGCGGAAGTTGAGGAGTGGTACAACACGTGGGTGGCGACGGCAGTGTCCAATGACGATGACGCAGCAGACACGCTCGATGACACGGAGGTGGAAGAGGAGGATGGGGACAAGCCACTTATGCGAACTTGGCTGTGAAATGACGAGTGGGATGACCAAGAGTGTGAGGCGGAGGACATAGCCCTCGTGGGCTCGAGGGAAAAGTACTGACACGAGTGCACAAAACCCGGCCGCTACAAGGAACGCGAGCTGCGGAGGAAATCAGGCCATTCGCAGCCCTTACCGTCGGTGTTGTACACGGAAGAGGAACGGGCACAGTTGTTGAAGGCACGAGCTGCTGGAACATGGTTGCACGGTGCAGGGGAAGCGTCCGGCAACAGAAAACGAGGGAAAAAGAGAGCACAACGCGAGGAAGTGGAGGAGGTGGTTCCGGTGGCGAAGGGGAGACGTGCGGACGGAGAGCCGAAATGCAAGAGGGGCCGACCCTCAAACGCGGAGCTGACAGAAAGGAAAGCCCGAAAAGCGGAAGCGAACGCTGCAAAGGCAGCTGCAGCAGCAGCAGCGAGAAGTGCGGCAGCCAGAAAAGGAAGGAAGAAAAAGGCGCGCAGCACTGTCATCGACGATGACGAAAGCGGCGATGATGCGGCGGCAGCATATGACAATGAGGCAGCAGCAGCAGGCGACGAGGCGGCAGCAGCACCGTCGTCAGCATCGTCATCTTCCTCGTCGGACGATGAGGATGCAAGTGGGAGTGGGGCGGAGTCCATGGAACACAGTGAAGGAGGGAGTAGGAGAGAGCATCAGAGCTCACTCCTGCAAACTTTGAAAGTGGGTAGTTTAGTTTTCAATTCCAGTTCGCTGAGTTCAGAGGGCGCTGCAGGGCACTGTTTTGGCTACGCAATGCGCAATGCAGCAGGGGGGTCCAAAAAAAATAATAATAATAATAATGCGCATCTGGCGCACCACCCAGGGGAACAGGCTGCAGTTGCGCACACTCCAGCACACAGCGCATACGGACTTGCGCATGGCGCATGCGCATAGCGCACACAAATGTGCGATGCGCGCGCATCTGCCCCGCGCCAAGCGCACACAAATGTGTGATGCGCGCGCATCTGCCCCGCGCGCATGGCGCACCGCGCATGCGCAGCGCATACATGCGCCGCAAGTATGGTTTTTTTGTCTACGAGTCCTCAACTCCGATTGCGGCACTACCCTTTGATCCCGCTGAGTGAGATTGGGCGAACAGGAAACCAATGGACATGTGTGATTACACAGTCAAAGGGGGCTGCGGACAAACAACACCACAAGCACCAATTGAGCATGCCATTACTGCAAGATGGACTCCAGATTCGCCCATTGACCCTTCCCAGGTACAGAACCTGCCCTAGCACACATACGCTAAGATCATGCCCACCAATCTTAGATTGTTGCAGTGGCAGATCCTGCACCGATGCCTCCCCACGCCGGATTGGCTGGTGTCTAGAACTAACTTGGAACAGAAGGGGCTGTTATCCCCCATTTGTTCCTGTTGTGGCAGAGCTTCACCTCCAGCCCCGGCAACACTTTAACATTGCCTGTTGGCATGCCCAATGGTTGCCCAGATCTGGAGATGGTGGGATGCAGCCTTCCACTCCCTTACCTCCTAGCCACATCCTCTGGGACATGGGCCTCCTATTGCTGGACAAGAACAATCACATCCTAAAACAGTGGCCTGCGTTTGCAGTCAACCTGTTCTCGTACACAAGGTTCCATGTACTAATGCTGGCCTGGCACGCAAGATGCTCTTTCGAAAGGAAGGACCACCAGTTTGGACTGCAACAAGCCGAGCAATCAATGGAGAAGGTGATTAGAGCCCAGACACGTGAAGCCTGGAAGGCCGCGAAACCAGAATACAGAAGCCAGAACGAACCGCAGGCCAAACTCACCATCAGGGACGCTTATCTACAGATATGGCAGGACCCGTTCAAGCTGTTCAATGAGGTAGATGCTGGACTGAATATTATCTGGAAATCCTGGAGGAGCACTGAGCACACATGGAGTAGGAAACACCTACATGAGTTCCAAATCCCATACCTGCAAACTAACTTCGTCCTCGTTCCAAATCCGCTACTACCAACCCCATCCCCCCCTCAAATCCCCACGCCCAACCCTCCAGCCTCTCCACCTGCACGTTCTCTCCCCCCCCAGTCCATCCGCCCCGCCCCTTCCCCCTTACCCCGACCAGGAGCAATAGGATGAAGTCTGCAGAAGGGTACGGTAGCCCCACAGACCTTCACTTCCCAAAGGCCAGCAAGCAGGACCCCAACATTCACTGGACAATGGACACCACCCACAGACCACAACCGTAGCGATAACAGCAAGACGTAAGGAGGGCATACATTCTGGGACAATGCGGCAGAAGCTCTCGTGGAGTAAGGTTGGGGCAAGAGAATACGTCAACAACTACGGGCCTTCGGGTTCAGGGGTTTGGAACTTTGGAGGCTATGGAGGGATAGCAGCTGAATAACTCCATAATAGAAAAACAAATGCAAACTTAGACAACCATTTATATATACATATACAGGGTCACCTGACCGAACGTTCGGGGGCCCCCGAACGTTCGGGCGTTTGGGGTCCCGTTCGGGGGCCGAACACCTCCAGGTTTGGCCCCCGCCAAAAAATATTTCGGGGCCTAAAACTAAGTTTTTTTTTCTGAATGCTTTTTTGTGAGTTCTCTGTGATGTAATCTACACGCTTATAAATTTTGAACCCATTCTGCTAAGCCAAAAAAACATTAAAAATCGTCAAAGATGGGGGTGTCAAAACATGCTCGCCCACTCACTATTTTGTTTTTTTTCACTTTTAACTTTTTGTTTTCACTTTATTTCGGGGCCTAAAAAATTTTATTATTTTTTGAAAACATTTTAATGAGTTCTTGATTATGCAAACTACGTATCTGTAAATTTTCAGGGCATTTGTCAATGCCAAAAAATAATTAAAAATCGGCAAAGATGGCGGTGTCGAAAAGGTGCTGGCACACTCACTCATTTTTATTCTCTTTTTATTTTTTCTTATTTTTATCATAGTGTTTATTTTATGTATTGGATTTTTAATTCAAATTTGGTAAGGAATTTGGATGTAGTGCCCAGACAAATGTTGTTTAGTTTATGTTTCTCCATAACATAGTTTTTTTTTGGAATTGTGCTGTCTCAGCGAAAGGTGCAAGCTTGGAGGCGTGAAAAACAGAGTATGTGCATAGGTGACCAGGGATTTGAATGACGTACGAGGGACCATCCAAATCATTCCCTACAATGAATGAATAAGACTTTCCAGGGACCGAAATACTGAGGCATGAATAAGACTTCTCAAGGACCGAAATACTGAGGCATTAGTTTCCTAGAGATGACAAACTCCTGTCCCAACTCACTAGCCTTGACCCAGACACGTTCCCCTACCTGAAATGTGGACTGTCGACGACATTTGTTCTTAGAAGAAATCATAGCTTCCCTAGATTTCTTGATGTGTTCGACAGTCTGCTGCAGCAATTTCTCATACTGGACACCAAATTCAATGGTTCTAGGAGTTGCAGCAGTTCGGTTTTCAGGCAGGAGGAAGTCTAGAGCAGATCTAGGCTCTCATCCAGATGTAGTTGATTTGACACCGGTGGTGCTGTGAACAACATTGCTGTACAGACTGGCGATGAGAGGTAGTTTCTCATCCCAATCACCCTGGTTGGGCTTGATGTAATGCCTCAGCAGACGCTGCACCAATCGGTTTATCTGTTCAGCCTGCCCATTGGCTTCGGGATGATTCCCAGAAGTCATCTGAAGCTGGCTGCCCATCTGTTCAACGGCCTTCTTCCACATCACACTGGTAAACCGGACATCTCTATCACTAACAATGGTCTTTGGCAGTCCAAAGTCACGCAACCAGTTGTCCATGACGTGCTCAGTCCTGGTAGTCTCAGGCATGACAATTAGTCTAGCGTATTTAGTAAGCCTATCCACTATGACGAAGATGTGCCTCTTCCCATTTTTGCGGGTCACGAGAGTATCCATGAAGTCCATAGAGATACTCTGCCCTGGGCCAGCAGGAATGGGTAGAGGCTTCAATAACCCAAGCGGAGCTTGAGTCTGCGGCTTATCCCGCTGACAGACCAGACAGGTCTGTACGTACTTTTTTGCATCGTCCACCATGTTAGGCCACCAAAATCGTTGTACTAAGTTAGCACTAGTCTTCTTGTAGCCGAAATGTCCCGTTGCGTCGTGGCACTCTCCTAGAAATAAACTACGCAAAATGTCCCTAGATGGAACAACTATCCTTTTAAACCCTGCCTTTTCAAGAAAGAGTAACCCTTCCACCATCACACACTCATCAGAGGTGGCCTTGTCTTTGGCCTGCAGTTTGTTGATGATGTCCATCGTGATAGGATCTTCCTTGTAGGCTTCCCCCAAAGATCGAGTAACGTCCTCAGACAAACCAAACTCAGAGATCAGCGCACCTAGGTAATATGCCCTGCGAGACAACGCATCCGCAACCTTGTTGTACTCCCCCTTTACATAGTCTAGTTTGAAGTCATACTTTTCTATGACTTCAATCCAGCGTTTGAATGCATCGGAGAGAACAGGTTGGGTCTTGATCCACTTGAGGGTCTGATGATCAGTTCTCAAATAGAAGAACCTTCCCAACAGATAGTGCCTCCAGTGGACAAGTGCCTTGTAGAGAGCATAGAGCCTTTTTCTCTAAAGTGAGGCTGCCCCTTGGGCAGTAGGACCCAAGGGGGCAACATTATGAAAATGAAAAAGAGGCTGAAGGAGGCCAAGAGGCAATCCGAGTTGGTACCAACCACTCAGACTGCATTCACTTGGCCAAAATAAGGCCCGGGTACCTCCGGAAGGGTCTCGTGGTGAGATTTTGCCTTGGGGGTACCTCAGTTCACCTCAAGGCACATAGGGAGGCCCATGGGCTGGCCGGAGTGCTGGTTCCAGCCTACATTAGCTGAGGATTCAGTCCACCACACTCACATTTGCATAAGGTGTGCCCATGCTACCCAAGTGAGCTCATAAGAGCATTTCCCTCACTTGGAGAAAGGAAAGGGGAACCTCTGCCAGTTTGGGAGGTTAGAGGAGACTGTGGACTAGTGGAGGGAGCTCTAAAGGTTGGTGGTAGCAGGGCTGGCCTAGGGAGGTGATCTGCCATAACCCCCAAGCTGTGAGGAAGGAGGAGAGGTTAGAGGGAGTCTCATTAGCCCTCCTAGAGGGGAGGACTCCATAACCATAGCGGAAGGAGCTTGCAATAGCTTGGGTGAGATTGAGAGAGGAAGGAGAGAAGGGCTTGAGGAAGAAGAAAGCCATAGCTAAGGTGACACCTGTGCAAGGAAGAAGAAGGGTTCATCAAGATTGGTGCTCCAACTCCAAGAGACCAAGGAGGTGAGTGGAAAGAAGAAGACTCTTCTTCTACCTCTTCTTTTTCTCCTCTTTCTTCTTCTTCTTCTTCTTCTTCTCCTTYTTCTTYGTGTTTTTTTTTTTTTTTTTTTTTTTTTTTTTTTTYTTYTTCTTCAACATCTCCCTCCTCGCATCTTCGTTTTCTGACCCCTCCAATAGTCTCTCATCAACATTCTCTTTCTCTCCTTCTTCATTGTCGCTCTCTCTATAGGAACCTTCCAAAGTTAGAGTAGATGGTAGGAAACTTTTCACTAGTAATGGTCTCCCCATGGGCTCTTTCTTCACTCCCATGTAAATCGCCACTTCCCCCCTTGTGATTTCATGCATTTGAGTGAGTCTCACTCACTCTTTTCTCACTTTCTCTCCATTTCTTCACTTAGGAGCAAATCGCAACTCTTATCCATGCCCAATCTAGTGTTTTGATGATGATTGCCTCTTGTTTAGTCCATTCCTCCACTCCCATGTGAAGCGTCACTTCCCCCCTTGTGATTTCATGCATTTTAGTGAGTTTCATTCACTCTTTTCTCACTTTCTGTCCATTTCTGCACTTAGGAACAAATCAGAACTCTTGTCCATGCTTGTTCTATTGTGTTGATGGTTCCTTTCACCTACTTTGCTCAATTTTCTCACATGATGACATTCCGTTTCACTCTTGGTTGCATTCATGAGCTTCAAGCATGTGTTTCAGCAAGTTTCACTCACATGCATGACTCAACTCTCACATGATGACATTCCGTTTCATTCTTGGTTGCATTCATGAACTTCAAGCATGTGTTTAAGCAAGTCTCACTCACATGCATGGCTCAACTCTCACATGATGACATTCCGTTTCATTCTTGGTTGTATTCATGAGCTTCAAGCATGTGTTTGAGCAAGTCTCACTCACATGCATGACTCAACTCTCACATGATGATGTTCCGTTGTATTCTTGGTTGTATTCATGAGTTCCAAGCATGTGTTTCAGCTAGTCTCATTCACATGCATGACTCATCTCTCACACGATGATACTCCATTGCATTCTTGGTTGCCTTCATGAGCTTCAAGCATGTGTTGGAGCAAGTCTCACTCACCTGCACGACTCATTTCGCACATGATGAGTTTCCGTTGCACTCTTGTTTGCATTCATGAGCTTCCAACATGTGTTCGAGCAAGTCTCACTCACATGCATGACTCAACTCTCACATGATGATGTTCCATTGCATTCTTGATTACTTTCATGAGCTTCAAGCATGTGTTTGAGCGAGTCTCGCTCACATGGATACTTCATCTTTCACATGATAATGTGTCGATTCTCACTTGGTTGTTCTACTACTCATGTGTATGTGCTCTCGCTAGTTCCACCCTCATTTTGTGAAGTTCATGCATTTGGTAATGTTCTGATTCTCATTTGGCTGTTCTACTACTCATGTGCATGTGTTCTCACTAGTTTCACCCTCACTTGGTCAAGTTTGTGCATTTGATAGTGTTCTGATTCACACTTGGTTGTTCTGCTACTCATGTGCATGTGTTCTTGCTAGTTTCCCCCTCACCCTGTCAGATTCGTGCATTTGGTAGTGTTTCGATTCACACTTGGCTGTTCTACTACTCATGTGCACGTGTTCTCGCTAGTTCCACCCTCACTTTATCAAGTTCATGCCTTTGGTAGTGTTATGATTCACACTTGGCTGTTCTACTACTCATGTGCATGTGTTGTCGTTAGTTCCACCCTCATTTTGTCAAGTTCATGCATTTGGTAGTGTTCCGATTCACACTTGGCTGTTCTACTACGCATGTACATGTGTTCTGACTACTCACACCCTCACTTTATCAAATGTGTGCCTTTGGTAATGTTTCGTTTCACACTTGGCTGTTCTACTGCTCATGTGCATGAGTTCTCGCTAGTCCCACCCTCACTTTGTCAAGTTCATGGATTTGGTAATGTTTCGATTCTCACTTGGTTGTTCTACTACTCATGTGCATGTGTTCTCGCTAGCTTCTCCCTCACTTTGTAAAGCTTATGCAGTTGGTAATGTTCCGATTCACACTCGGCTCTTCCGCTACTCATGTACATGTGTTCTCACTACTCATACCCTCACCTTGTTAAGTTCATACACTTGGTAAATGTTCGATTCACGTTT